GACCCGCGGCTCCTCTCATCTCTTCAGGGAAGGAGGAGGGTCCGTAGCCTCCCCGCGCAGTCACAGAGGGGTTTAGGTTGGGAGGGACCTTAAAGATCACCCGGTTCCCACCCCCCTGCACGGGCAGGGACACCTCCCACCAGCCCAGGCTGCTCCAAGCCCCATCCAACCTGCCCTTCAACACCGCCAGGGATGGGGCAGCCAAAATCCTCCTGGGAAGCCCAGGCCAGGGTCTCGCCACCCTCACAGCAAAGAATTTCTTCATAACGTCTCACCTAAACCTGCCCTCTTTCAGCTTGAAACCGTCCTGCCTCCTCCTGTCACTTTATGCACTTGTGAAAAGCCCCTCCCCAGTTTTCCCGCAGCCCCTTCAGGCACTGGAAGGTGCTTGGAGCTCTCCCTGGAGCCTCCTCCATGCTGAAACACCCCAGCTCTCTCCGCCTGTCTTGATGTGAGAGCTGCTCCAGCCCTCACATCACCTCTGTGGCCTCCTCTGGGCTCCCTCCGACAGCTCCATGTCCCTCCCATGCTGGGCACTCCAGAACTGGATGCAGCAGTAGAGCGGGATAGAGGGAGAGAATCCCCTTCCCTCCACCTGCTGGGCACCCTTCTTTTGATGTGTCCCATAAAGTGAAGAAGATTTTCCTCATGTTCAGATTGAGCTTCCAGAGGTGCAGTTTGTGCCCGTTGCCCCTGGTCATGGCGCTGGGCACCCCTGGGAAGGGTTTGGCCTCGTCCTCCTCACACGGTTTCAGACCTTTATAAGCATTGAGAAGAGGCCCTCTCAGTCTTCAACACTGGGCTCTCTCCAGTTGTTCCTTGTCTTTCTTGACCTGAGGAGTCCTGAACTGGACACAGGAAAGTAGAAGGCAGATTTCTGGTAATTAATGGATCGTTGATTTGTAAAAATGAAATGTGTCTGAAGGGCCGTGGGCCTGTTGGTGGCAGGGACTGCCATGGTGGGTGCTTCCTCTGTTCTGCAGCTTGTTGTTATCATAAATAAATACAGCAAATATAGCCACTCTGCAGCAGTTTAGGAATAATTATTATAATGTATAAATAAAACAAATTAAAATAATGACAGTTAATAATAACAGCTACATATAGTTAATAATGCATATTACAAAAACTATTTTAGTTATTTGGAATAATGTATTAAGATATAATTACTAATGCAAAAATGTTCCTAAAGTAGCCAATTCAGAATCATTAATAATATAAATTAATAATAAATACGTATACTTTGTAATACTGCATTATGATAAATATGAAGCTTATTCCATAGCTTGTTGTCAAAAACTAATCATGCATTTTTCTTCTTTTCTCTAGATTTAGCTCACTGAAGGAGCCAGGCAGGTGCCAGCCCTGCTGTGAGGTGAGGAAAACATATGGCTGTGAACAGAAGGAAGGTGGGATTATGGCAAGTGGTGATTTAACTTGGTCTGCTTGGTGAGGAGCTGCTGTGCAGCTTGTACCAGCCTTTCATTTCTGAGGTGCTGTCTTGAGCTACGTGTGATGGGCTGTGTAGCAAGAGAGCACAACCAGCTTCAAATGAAACCAGGATGGCAACACAGAGCATGTCCTTCAAGCAAGACCTTTGTGTCTCAAGATAAATATCTAAAAATAGCAAATGTTTGAAATATTCTTGCTTAAATTGCTCCACCTCTCTGTCCTTCATCTGTAAGATCCAGCTACTAATATCAAGTTGCCTCAGGAATCTTGTGCATTTGTGAAGCACCCATTGCAGTGAGAACAATATAAAAATCACAGCAAAAAAATAAATATATTTCTAGTCAGCACTGGTTCTCAATGGTATATATTAAAGCTGAAGGCTATACAATGAGTAATGAGGATTATAAAAACTTAAACATAACAATTCAATACACATCATCCATCTTGCAAGCATTTATTAATCTTCCTAGCTGCTAAAGGCTGGGGTCTTGTGAAGAAATGAAGTTGTTCTGAAGGCACTGAAACTCAACTTTTCTATGTATTTGTGCCTAAAATTAACTTAAGGAAAGCTCTGGGTCAAAGCTGCTTTATAACTGCAGAATTGGTACCTGCTTTCCCTGCATGATTTCTCTGACTGAGATGATGTTAAGAGTAGTGTGAGGAGGCACAGGTATGCTGAGTTTGTCCATTTTAATGTCAACAATGCAGAGTTTACTGACATAGATTGACCTGATGCTAAGCATAGATCTTGTGAGTTTTCCCACAGACCTATTGTTGATCTGACCTTCTCACAAAAGTGACAAAGATCCCTTCCTTTCCTGTGACTCTGTATGAAGTGTTGATGTTTTCTTCTTTCTCTTTCATCTGATTTTAAATCCTCTCAATCTAGTCACTGCTACTTAGGCAGATCTGAGATGGCTCCTTGTAAAACAAAATGGTCCAGGATTTCAGAGTGGCAGAATCATGGGACACAACTATTGTACACATGCTATTTCTAGCAAGTTGAAGCTGCCATGTTTGCAGCTGTCAGTTCTGCTAATGTGCTCTCTAAGTGCCAAGACAGTAACCTAGGCAGTGGCATCCAATCATGATGATCCCACAGCAGAAGAGGAAAAGCAAATTCAGCTGCGGCAACGCAGAATAGTATCTCTGTGGAAGGACTGGCAGTGCTAAGTGCTAATGAATTTGTTTTATTAGGCAGTAAAAGCCCTTTTCCTCACACTGCTGACAGGAGAAAATTATAATTTTAACTAATGATTAAGATAATTTAAAGTATTTAAAGTTGAAGGTTAAAGGTAACAGACAGGTAAGAATTATTGTGCAAAAATATGAGCATCATTAGTTATTAGACAACTGATACTGTTTTAGTGTCTCTGCAGTCTAACCATTCTTCAGACAAATGAAAAAGAAAGGCTTTGAGGAGATTAGTGAAGTAGATCAGCAGATTGTTATTGGTTTCCCTTAGAAAAGCAAGGAGCAGCACGAAAGCTCAACAAACCTTGTGTGAAAATTCAAGTGCAGCATTCGAAGCTGATACTATGCTCTCGTTACACTCCACTGACTTTAGCTCTGGCTTGAACTCTGTTAAACTTTAATGTCAACCTAAGTTAAAATGTGACTTGTGCTGAAAGATTTTGTGATCTTCAACAACAAATTCCAAGTGCAGAAAAACGCTGCATCTAAAAGGACAGCTCAGTTTTGGCAAGACTAGTTCCAACCCTCTGAAAGCAACAACTTTAAGCCACCGATTGGAGGTACTGCACGATGGTATTTGCAGCATCTGGAGGGAGACTATTTGCTTCTGCTGCCTGCCACGGAAAAGTCCCTCAGAATGTCAGGCAGAGGGGGGCAGCAGCACCTCAGACTGTCAGTGTTACATCTGGTAAGCAAGAGTAAGGTCAGGGGAAACTTCTGTGTTTCATCAACACAGGTTTTGCGTAGACTTCCATAAACTGGCTTAAATCCAGAGTGATTCATTTGCTCTGTCAACAAATCCCTAGTTTTATTAATTATGTTATTAATAACATGTTTACTATTTTACACCATTTTGCCTGTCCTTATAGTACTTATTTCCTCTATAGCATGCCTACATCTTCCCAGAAATATGTGAAACTGGAAAACTTT